GAACATGGTACCAAGACAAAAGTTGCTTGTATTGTTATTTTACTTAACATATAAGTTTTTCAAAATTTTCTGAGAACTGTTTTTGTTTTTTTTAAATATTTTTTATGTTCACGTTTGGAGGGTTTTTAGTGCTTGTCCGCGTTCTGACGAACATGTTTGCGTTCACCTCCGAATGCGAAAACGATGCTATATAGCGAATAACCATTTTTTTTGTCCTTCTCGTCAGACTTTATTATTTAGATTGTTTTTCATGCCTTTCTTTACAATTATTTTTTAGTCACTTTCCACTTGCAGGGGATCGAACCATAAAGTCATTTAAACATCTTCCACTCGAAGATGGGTCCCAAACGAATTGTTAACCAACCTTCACTTGAAGAGAAGTCAACTATAAAAACACTCATCTTTGAGATACCAACTTATGAGTCCTTACCACAACTCAAAAAGATATAAGTATTCGGCATAGATAAACATTCAATTTTATCATTACATAGATCCCTTGGGATCTTCACACCAATTTACCAAAAGAAGATTGCACTTTCCCTTCTTATATTTAAACCTCTTGTTTGTTCGTACGACAAACTGCGTAAGTATACAAAAGAGTAGAGAGCTTTCATATTTCATGCTCACAAACACACGAGATGCATTATGTGCATCTCTCATACAAAAATCATCATACATTATGATAAGTCCATATATATGAGAGTGATTGTGATCGGTACACAAAAACGAGATTGACTTAGAGTCTCAAAAATGCAGTCAGAGCTGGAAAACCCCAACTCGAATACAACAAAAATGACCTCCTTGTTCTGAACTGTCACATAACAGGGTTGTAACTCCAATTAAAAAAAGAATCCCCTGGAAATAACCGTGGTCCAGGGTATAAGCATAAACTGACTCAGAAACATAAATCCGTATAATCAAATACTCACTCTACTCTAAAAATCTCACAAGATCAAAAGGAAAACATTCACAAGGTCTCTTTAACTCACATTATCCCACAACATACACCTTCTATATACATGAATATATTTGTATCAATTACAATATCAGAATGATCGTTACAATCCTATTTGAATATTCATTCTATATACATAAAACTTTAAGGATTCTCAAAAAGTATTTATGTCGTCAATCCAAACTGTTAACTAAAACTAACCCATGAACACACAACCTAAGTTTTGAGTCGTATCTTGGTGTACAAATCCTATGTACACCACCTCTTCTAAGACTACCTTAAGCAAAAGATTGTACACCCTAAAGTCGAAATGTTCTTTCCGTCAGTACGTAAACAAATCGTCACCCACTCAACTCCTTTTTACTTTGTCTGTATAACTGAGCTCTACCCTCATCATGAGATCTTCCTACTAAGTTATGCACCCTATCATACATTTTACCAGACTCATCGCCAATAACCTTTTCATCAACCTTATCCTTTAGGAACTTGGGACACTTTAATGCTCTATGTATGTCATCCTGACAGTAGAAGCATCGACTGTCCATTTTCCTCAAGAAATTATTTTTCCTCTTCTTTCCGTGAGACTTTGAAAATTGCGGAGTAATGGCGACTTGACTTTTGGCCTCTTGTTGCTACTGCTCAGATGTAGGCTCTCCTGAGCCTGTTCCTATAGCCCAAGAACCTAACTTGTCTCTCAACTCGCCAACCTCTGACATGTACTCAGGGGCATCCAACCTCTGAGGTCTCTCTTGATGTATGCTTTATTTCATAGCAGCCAACGATTCATCCACATGATACCTCGTTTTGAAGCTCTCCTCTTCTCTTGTAAGTCGACCAGGTACTTTCACCTCCTTGGGCATACCACCTAAAACCTCTAGTAAAATCTCGAGAGATCCCCCCATCTTGCGTGACCTTCTCACTTGGCAAGGATTCAGGGATCTGAGTTGGTTCCTCAATAGGAATTTCAAATGGTGTAAAGGTCATCTGTTGAACCACCAACTAAGTGGAAGCTCTAAACTCAAGACTTCCTTTCCCAACCTTCTTCTTAGTCTCTCCTCGATGGGATCCATCATCACTTTACCCATCTCCTGCTGTTAAGGAAACTATATCTCATCTCTCTGCTCGAACAATCTTTGTACTGTCTCCCCCTGAATATCATACCAACTCTGCTCCGTCCAATTAACCACCTTAGTGGCGAATAACCTTGTCACCGTTGAGGACATGTTTAGGTATTTCCTCTCTCAATCAACCTCCCTGGTCTGGATTAATGTCTTCAGTGCTTCGAGGCGTGCCCTCAAGGTTTGACTCTCTGTCTGTACCTCTGCAAGACATTTTGTTAAGTGTTGCACCTCTTGTCCCTTCGATGCCAACGCGTAGTCCAACAACGAATATCTGTGGAAGGAGGTGGTCGACAACTGAGGTGCTTTCTTATTCAATCGCTCGACTGCCCATCTCACATTTGTGAGTCTTGTGTCCCGTATCTCCCTCAGCTCACCTGACCTCTCATCCCTCTGCTCTGACTCCTATAACCTCTGACGAGCTGTCTCTTTAACTCTTATACCTAGTCCACATATCGCCATTCCTATGCTCGGCGGTCCTGATATCAACTGGTGGCTCTGGAAGCATCCCTGTTGCCTCCATCTTCTCTTTTCTCTGTGTCATCTCGGCGAGCCACGCCTCGACTCTGGCCGATCTCTTCTCTGGGTTCTCTCCGACTGACCTTGTCTACGTCAACTGTTCTGGGGCCTCACCTCGAGCTAATCTTGTTCGTCTTTTTGGCGTCTGGCCGGCGATCATTCTCGTCGCAGACAAACCTCAAAAGTATAGCTTCCTTCATGTAGTGTCTTGATTTCAACTCACTGGTCGTGAGGTTATGTTCCTCTAACAAACTCAAAACCTTATCAAGTCCTGAACATGCTCCAGACGAAACGTCTAACCCCTGACGCAACCTCGTCTTCCTTCTTCTCCTTTGGTCTCTTCACCGCCAAGTCATCAATACAAGGTTGAGTAATTTGTGGACTGACTGTTTGCATGACTCGGATCATATGCCTTTGGATCATTGGCACAACGTTAGTTCATCCCTAGAGGGTTATGCTCATGTGAATTTGCCCTCTCGGTGTATGCATAGCTGTTACTGGCCTATTTGGCCGATAAATGAGAAATTGATCATACCTAGAATAAAGGTCTATAAGCAAAATTATAGGGCTTCATGCGCATGACTCAGACAATGCGCCCGTGTTAGACAAGTCTCCTCCATCACACATTGTTACAATATTTAGCCGCTGCAAATCTTGAACCCATCGTAGTGTCCCATTTGGTTTAACGAAATAAAACTATGGTGGCGCATAGGGTCCACTAAAAAAACCAGCAACATGTGTCCACATCTTGCCATCCAAATAGTCAACCACAGTCTTCTCCTCGTCAGGATTGGGGTATCGCGCACCACGTAGATTCCATGGTTCATGCAATACGATATGGATTCGAATCATCGAGATCTTATCCACATCCATCTCTCGCATTGGTCGTCGCTAAAGACGTACGCACGATGCACACCATTAATGCTCGTTCTTGGGGCATGAGAAAATCAAGCTCGCTAACTTCTAGTCTCCCTTCATTTTTGCTATTGATACGACACAACTCAATTGCAGCTTGCTCATGCATTCGGCGTATCAATTTACGCCCCCGTTCGTAATATGCCTCTTTTTCTTCGGTAACGAGCACGGTAACCGGCCGACACTTGTTATCTATCGGTTTGTATAACATTTGGGAACCCTGCTTAAGCCGTCCTCTTAAAAAAACCGACTTGCAGTCTGAGCTTGCACCATGGCAGGGTCTCTCACTTTTCCAGGAAGTCGGTACGTTAGGTCTACTTCCCCCACCCGGGGACTCTCAATGACCTGCTCCTTCAAAGCCCTGATTGCCTCAGGGTCCGCCAACCCATAGGCCGTGACCATCTCCATGACGACATTGACGTTGGAGAGACAACACTTCCGGGCGCTCTTCCCTCTCAAACTTCGCGACTAACCTCCGCCCCTCGTTTTCTGACTCTTCAATAAGTACCTGATCCCACAGTACATAGTAGAAGAGCTTTTAGGAAAAAAAGGGGATCCCACATGCTTTCCCCAACTTCCCCGTCCGAGGGCGCTGCAACGAAAAACGGCTGTTTCTACTGTGGGAAAATTCCGTGTCGCCACGGCCTTGAGCCATGGCGCGAAGTTGGTAGGAAACGGTAGGTACCCCGCGACCCCCTACCCTTCCCCCAAAAAGTAGGCATATTTTCGGGGTTTTTTTTTTTTTTTTTTTTTTTTATACAAAACGGCCAGAAGCCCCAATCGTAAAAGCGCCAAGAAGTTCGGGCCTGTGGGATCCGAATTTTTTCCTAAGGAGGGTTCTGTACTTCTCCTACTTTCAAGGAACTCTTACGACTTTTTCGTAGAAGTTCATAGAGGGATCAGCCTCTAAGTAGTGTGGGATCAGACCCTGAACCCCCTCCCAGGCCCAGCTTTCCCGTTACTTTTACGGATTCTTGGCCGTAAGTAGTGTGGGATCAGACCCTGAAAACCCCCTCGGCGCAAGGCGCACGCCTTTCCGCAGGGGGATCAATCCACTGCTGACACGCACGAGGGGAGTAGTAGAAAAGAGGCGAAACTATTTCCGACCCCACATCTGCGGGTACAGTATGGGATCCCAGTTTACATCGAAAAGTACCTCCACTGCAGTTATGGGATCAGTACCTAAAGCCGAAACTCAGCGACGAACGGGCAGGCTCCCGCCCAATCTATCGGGGAAGCTCAGGAGTAAAGAACGGTCCTCTGCAAGTCAGCAGAGCCACCGCTGATCGACGGATCGGGAGCTCGAACCTCCCGGACTCGAATAACGGCCCTGTTTCATCACCCTCAACTGTGAATGTGAATTCGGCGTTTCTTCCCGTCGCTTATCCGACGACAAGGTCGTCGAGCGAAGGAGGGCGGAATGGGATTGGGCTGCATGGTCAGAACAGAGTTTGTCGTTGAAACGGGACGAAAGGCGGGCAGCATTTGTGGCGGGGTTTAAACACGGAGGCTTCGTCGCTGACTGTTAGCAACGCGGTCCTGATGACATGAGGTCATTCTTTCCCCTTCCCTGTCTTGCTCCCTCACTGTTTTGTCTGTTTTTTGTCTCCCCGTGTCTGCCGCGTCGTCGTTCATCTTTTTGCCGTTCATCTAAGCGTGGTCGTGAAGTTTTTCCCTCGCCCTTTCTCTGAGTTTATTTTTTCCTCTGGCCTGTCCTCTGGCTCCCCGTCTTGTCTTTTTCTAATCATAATCTTTAATGGCTGACAACCGCCTCGCTCCCTTTCCGCCGCTCCCTTTCCCCCTCCCATTCGTTTCCCCTTCTTCTCCTTTCCCTTTTCTACCCCTTTGTCACGCCCACGTGGTCATCTTGCTGTTGTTGCGACCACCTCCTCCTACACAGGTCTGGTTGTCTCGGTGTATTCCTCCCTCGCAGCTTGTTTCCACCGAATGTTTCTGGTTTGTCTTTTTTTTTTTTTTTTTTTTTTTTTTTGAACTTGTTTGTCTTTAACGTCTCCCCTTTGCTCCTCCTCCTCGGTCATCTTCTTTTCTTTTTCTCCATCTACTTTCCTTTCTCCTCGTCCCCTGCTCATCTCCTCCCTCCGCTTCTCTCTTCCTTCTGTCACAGTCTTCTTTTCCGTGAGTAGAGGCGGCACTCTATTCCCAACCACTATCCGTTCATCAATCCAGCACCGGATTGCTTATGTGTGTGTCGTCTTTGGGATGGGAACGGGCTGCTAGCATGCTACCATAACGGCAAGTCCTAGGAGGACACCGAGTTGAACTTTCAATAATGAGAGTAATTGGATACAAAATCCTAATTAGCAGGAATTCAGATTTGGATGTTCGTCGTCAATATGAGAGGCAAATTCTAGGGAAGTCTCTCTTCTTTCTGAAATTTTCTTTTTCTTTTTCTTTCTTTCTTTCTTTCTTTCTTTCTTTCTTTTTTTTTTTTTTTTTTTTTTTTTTGAAGATCCATGTGGTAGTAGCGGATGGACCGATTTTGAAGCTCTTACCACTGTGTGTAGCAAAGAAAGAAACGGGAGATAAGGATAAATGGGGAGGCAAGTGGGGCAGATGCAGAGTGTTGGTGGGGAAGAGGGAAGGAGGGAGGGGTGGGGGGGAAAGGAGGGGGAGATGGAGTAGAGCAGGGAGCGCGAAGCAAAATGATGGTGAGACGGAAGGTCTGCTACGCATCCACTCCTCCACCAATTCATTCATCAACTAATCGATCGATGCAGAAATCAAGGACGCCATTGCCATGAATCGCGACAAGAGTCCTATGGTTGCTAGCCAAGGAAAAAAATACTAATTGAATTTCCGATCGGGCAAGGATCCAAAGCAATGAACCTCATTTGTATTTGTATTTCCAGGTTCAACGTAAGGAAGGTTGGGGGATTTGATTTTTGCGATCGATGGTGATCTTTGCAATTGCGGGGAAGGTGGTTTGGCGAAGTGTGCATTTTTGTTGTTCAAGAATTCCAATCTTTTAGTCGAAGAATTATGCCTGAACCAAATCAATCTATCGATCAAAGAATCAGGAGGGTCAAAATAGAGAGCAAGTCCTCCGGGAATCAATCTAGCAATCAAACAATCTATCAATCTTACCTGTGTCGTTCTGTTAAATTGGAACGATACAGAGAAAGAAGATTAGCGTGGCCCCTGCGCAAGGATGACGCGCATAAATCGAGGTTAACAAAAAAGAAAAAGAGAGCGGGAGAAATTGATCGATACGTTCTTTACGGAAACCACGAGCAGTGGTCCGCCTGGATAAAATGGATCTCCCAGGAAGTGGGGAGAAAGGAAAACATAAAATAAATGGGCAAATTCAATCGAAAGTGGTCAATTGATCGATCCATTACTGTTCAATGGGACAATTGATTTATGGCTGAACGATTTGACCGCGAGCAGGGTCGACCAGATGGTGAAAATATGGGCAGAAAAGGAAACGCGCCAGAGAAGAGCAAGGAAAAATGCCGAGAGAGGAGGAAGGATGAGTGGATGGAAAAGAGATATTGAAATGGTGGTAAGGCACTATTTTGCGCTGGAGAGAGAGAGAGAGAGAGAGAGAGAGAGAGAGAGAGAGAGAGAGAGAGAGAGAGAGAGAGAGAGAGAGAGAGATGGGTCTACGGAGGCGAGCACGGGAGAGGGGGCTGTCTCTTATACACATCTATGCCTGTCTGAGTGTTCGGCGGATTGAGTGTGCGT